CCACTCAACATTTGTTACAGATACCAAACACCAACCAACAAACACTATCCACAAAAAAAGTGACTATTATAACAACATGACACTCCTTCTGGTGGTGACATACCATAAAAACGGAAATCTTATTACTTCACTTGAAAACAATTATGTCCAAAATTCTTCAAAGCATCGGGTGATTTGGGAGAAAACATCAGGGGAAAACTTCTATTGAAACCCTGACAACTGAATGTTTTTTCAATAAATGTGAGTTATAAAATGCAATGTTTATACCCTCTCCATGAAAGTCACCATGTGAAAAAGTCAACTTATATCATCAGGCTCATAACCAGGATTTGCCAAGGGGGGTTCACGTGTGACAATTTTGCAACCAAAAATGGCCAAAATCACTTAAAAGGTGCTCAGAATGGTGAAAAACTGCATGATTTTGAAAGATTTTTTGGCCAGGGGGGGGGGGGGGTCACCTTCATATCGAGCGAATACAAGGCTTGAACCCATCAAACCCCCCCCCTGGCTACGGGTCTGATCATCTCATTTTTCCTCAGTCTTTAGATGTTTCAGGTGAAGCAGAAAGATGTGATGAGTATCAGAATGCCTCATACGTACAAATGTTGTGGTTAGAATTCTGAAAATGAGTGACATCTATCAATGAATCAGAATAATTTCTCAGTGAATAGGCAACTTCATTCAAAAGGTATTAGTTGCTCAAACTCTTAGGGGTGGTGCAAGCACACCCGACGCGACCCCCTGGTGACGATCATGGATTTAAGTAAATGATTAATTAAGACCATTTACAGTACATTAACACTCACTCTCCAAACACATATCTTCATCCACTGTGTTCCTTCCTTCCACAGCAGATAATGTAGACTACTGCATTTGGAGGAGAGCATTTAAATATAGGACTAAATCATCCTTTGATATGATCAAAGCAGATAAGAGCCAATCATTGGAGTCCATCGATATGATACTCATCCAACCAGAATCAAGATAGCACTTGTCAAAAAGCATCGATAGCAGTTAGATACGACAGTAAATCAGATTTCAAATTTACGAGATTCCAGCAATACAACTATATATGCAAGGAAGAATCAGACGATAGTGATCTCCCCAGCATTAAAGCAAGTGGGCGCAGCACCCATCTGAGATTTTTAAAAAATCCAGTGGAGAACATTGGATGAGACATTGCAGATAATAAATTGTAGATGATGTAAGGAACCATAATTTGCTGTAAGGCATTAATTGGTAAAGTAGCTGTCACATGAGCCAAGTGGGATCACCCTTCGCCACCGTGTGGCTAATTTTGGGCATTAACTTTTTAAACAATTAAGTAATTTTTGTATTTGGTACATTGGGGGATATCTTACTGTAAAACTATTTGTTAAATGCCTACCATATCCATGCCGTGTCCAAAAGTCTGCTCCAAAGTATTCACACAGTGGCAAATGGTAAGCCCACGTGGCATAAGTGTAACAGCGTCATAAGAGTTTGAAAGGGATTACAGGGTTTGAAGAAGATTATATAGCCTGAAAGGGATTACAGGGTTTGAAGAGGATTATATAGGTTGAAGGGGATTATAGGGTTTGAAGAGGATTATATAGGTTGAAAGGAAATACAGGGTTTGAAGAGGATTATATAGGTTGAAAGGAACAAGGGTTTGATAGAATGCCTTTCAGTAATACATGAACTTGTACCCTCATTTATCCCTCTATTTGTGAAAGCAATCTACAAATTTAATTATCCACACAGATCACAGGGCTCTACTAAAAGAGTGGCCACTTCATGGATATATAATAATATAATGGACTTTTCATATAACATTGGAATTCTGCACATCTGGGAATCATTTCCTATTAAAGAACTCTTGTTCTGTTTCACAACTTTCCCGTTTTCTTAAAGGGACCTTGTTTCCAATATACCAAACTCTTGTTCCAAAGCTTTAATATAGTTTTCTTAATTTAAAAATGTTTAAACAATTTGGTCCTTTCCCTTTGGCACTTGTGCTTATATATTTATTAATATTTCAGGTGGCTCATTGAGACCACAAAAACAATATGGACCCACTGACTAACTTGGTTAACTAAGTTGACTTTTCTTCCTAATTTTTCTATATCCAAATGTGATGAAAGAACCATTCTACCCTCCGGGGAAATCTCAACATACAGTATGAAAGTTAACTTAAATTAGTAAAGTCCTTAGTGACAGAACTGTGCAATATATATTTTTTTTTTTAGGTTTAAAGTTTTTTATTATCATTTAATATATGCAATATATGCCGGGAATATATGAAACATACATCAAAGACCAAAGGCTAGAAGAATTGAAAAAGCATTATTAGGCAAAATCAACAGAAATCAAATTGCAATTTCAAATAAAGTTACCCATTGATGATTATTCATTTTGCATCTTGTCAGAATCACCAATAAAACCCCTCAAAACAATGAGAGTTGAAACATCCCCTCTTGTTCCCCTAGAAAAATCAGATAATATTATTAGTAATATTATTTAAAACCCACAATGGGAATTGAGACATTCTCTCTAGTTCCATCAGGTAACCATATCACGAAGGTTTTATTAGAAAACAAACCAATCTGTGACAAACAAATATTACTTAACCCCCATAAACCTCTAAAACAATAAAAATTGACACATCCTCTCCTGTTCCCCTATAAAAATCAGATAACCATATCACATTGTTTTTTGTAGAAAACAATCCAATCTGTGATGTATATAAATACTATGTAACCCCCATAAAAGCCCGCAAAACAATATGAATTAAAACATCCCCTCCTGTTCCCTTAGAAAAACCAGATAGCCGTATCACAGAGTTCTCTAGAAAGCTACCAATCTGTAATATATATACACATATTACTTAAACCCCATAAAACCCCTAAAAACAATAAAAATTAAAACATCCCCTCCTGTTCCCTTTGAAAAATCAGATAGCCGTATCACAGAGTTCTCTAGAAAGCTAACCAATCTGTAATATATATACACATATTACTTAAACCCCATAAAACCCCTAAAAACAATAAAAATTAAAACATCCCCTCCTGTTCCCTTTGAAAAATCAGATAGCCGTATCACAGAGTTCTCTAGAAAGCTAACCAATCTGTAATATACAAATATTACTTATTACATTGTCAGATAACTCAATAAAAACATCAATCTTCCTGTTCTATTTGTGAACAAACCTCCTTCAAAATAACTATTTGATTTGCTGGAATTAGTTTATTCAATGATATTTGAATGTTGCTCTCTCATAGACTGGATTAAGAGAGCATCTCTACTTAATGTTAACACTGTTATAGCATCTCTACTAAATGTTAACACTTTTATAGCATCTCTACTTAATGTTAACACTTTTATTGTATCCTACTAAATGTTAACACTTTTATAGCATCTTAACTTAATGTTAATGTTAACACTTTTATAGTATCTCTACTAAATGTTAACACTTTTATAGCATCTCTACTTAATGTTAACTCTTTTATAGCATCCTACTAAATGTTAACATTTTTATAGCATCTTTACTAAATGTTAACACTTTTATAGCATCTCTACTAAATGTTAACACTTTTATAGCATCTCTACTAAATGTTAACACTTTAATAGCATCTCTCCTTAAAGTTAATACTTTTATAGCATCTCTACTAAATGTTAACACTTTTATAGCATCTCTACTAAATGTTAACACTTTTATAGCATCTCTAATAAATGTTAACACTTTTATAGCATCTCTAATAAATGCTAACACATTTATAGCATCTCTACTAAATGTTAATACTTTTATAGGATCCTACTAAATGTTAACACATTTATAGCATTTCTACTAAATGTTAACACTTTTATAGCATCTCTACTAAATGTTAACACTTTTATAGCTTACTATTTGATTCAGAGTATAACATACTAACATGTCATAGGCTCTGACATCCAGGGTCCTACTCTTATAAAGAATACAATATTAAACACTCATACATACAGTGACAAACACCTTTTCGACTATGAACATACAATGCAAACATCCATATAATTATGAATACCTTTTCGACTATGAGCATATAATGCAAACACCCATATAATTATGAACATCTGTTCAATTTGGAACATATAAATGGTAAACACCAAAATAATTATGAACACCTTTTCGACTATGAACATACAATGGTAGACACATACAATTTTGAACACCTATACAACTAAGATTAAAGGATATGCACTTTGCAATGATGAACACATCTAAAAAACTTCATAATAAACATTCAGTTTTGATCAACTGAACTTGGTGGCTGTAGAAATTTGAAATAAAAACACCAAAAATACATACATATAGCATGTAATGTTTATATTATATGTGAATATACAGTAAAATATGTGTATGGTGAACACCTATGCAGCCACAAAAATGAGTTCGCTATAGGTAGATGTTTGCCACAGAGAGGTAATTTTATACAGTACAGAGGTCAATGGAGTATGTGCTGAGAAGAGGTGTTCGTTAAACACAGGTGTTCACAAGAGAGAGGTATCCACTAAGTCAGATTTTACTCTACTAACATTATAATGTTAGGGAAATTGGAAACCAATTATATTTTCAACAGCTAAGAACATTCCAAAAATAACCAGGTACAAGCTAATCCCACAAGAACCAAAACTGATATTTTTTAATTGTGAATGTTCGTTCATTAGCTATAACACAATAAACCACTATAGTCTAATACAACCACAATACACAGGAGGCTCCCAAGGGAAATTTTGAACATGAATACAATTATGAATATACAAAATTCACTGGATCTCTGTCGTGTCTATAAATGAATAAATGTATAAAAATGGTGAAGGAGTTCCAAGAATTTTTGTTATTTCCTTTCCATAATATACATCAAGCTACCGATAATTTCCACCAATTAGTGATTTGTGTTTCCTGTCCTGGAATAGTAGATTTTTCAAAACAAACAAACAAACAAGCAACCATACAAACAAGCAAAACAATCAAACAACCTTACCTCTAGTTTGTTCTGGTGCCAATTATCCATTCGTGAAGAATTAGATGGCGATGCAACATGATCTTCCAATATCATTTTCCTCATTATGTCACTTTTTTTATTCTGTCACGTTTTATATGTCACCTCTCTGTCTTGATGATGTCACAATATTTAATCCTTTTATGATGTCATATAGGTAGTAATTTCAGTACATGACTATTGATCATAATAATGACTGTCACTTCAGTAAATTAATGACTTATCATATTGTCAAATATATACGTCTCTTTATACTCCCAGGATGATAAATTCAGGGCATAATATAACATTTCCATAGTATGTGAAAGTCATATCCCATTTGTTCCGTAATATAATCCAATTGTGAATCGTGACTATCTAAAATATACAAATCTATATATTGCGTTCTTATTTGGATCAGAACTAAGTATTTCTATAGCAGAATCAAAGTGTCATAAATGATCCCTGGGTATAATGTAGTCTATTGTAGTAAAACAGATGCATTCATCATAAAAGAGGGATGTTGTAAAAATATTAATGCTCAATCATATATTCAAACTTGATCGCCATGCCCAAATATGGAATGATGTCAAAATATTAATGCCCAATCATATATTCAAACTTGGTCGCCATGCCCAAATATGGAATGATGTCAAAATATTAATGCCCAATCATATATTCAAACTTGATCGCCATGCCCAAATATGGAATGATGTCAAAATATTAATGCCCAATCATATATTCAAACTTGGTCACCATGCCCAAATATGGAATGTTGTCAAAATATTAATGCCCTATCATATATTGAAACTTGGTCACCATGCCCAAATATGGAATGATGTCAAAATATTAATGCCCAATCATATATTCAAACTTGGTTGCCATGCCCAAATATGGAATGTTGTCAAAATATTAATGCCCAATCATATATTCAAACTTGGTCGCCCTGCCAAAATATGGAATGATGTTAAAATATTAATGCCCAATCATATTTTCAAACTTGGTCGCCATGCCCAAATATGGAATGTTGTCAAAATATTAATGCCCAATCATATATTCAAACTAATGGTTGCCATGCCCAAATATGGAATGATGCCAAAATATTAATGCCCAAGCATATTTTCAAACTTGGTCGCCATGCCCAAATATGGAATGATGTCAAAATATTAATGCCCAATCATATATTCAAACTTGGTCGCCATGCCCAAATATGGAATGATGTCAAAATATTAATGCCCAATCATATATTCAAACTAGGTCGCCATGCCCAAATATGGAATGATGTCAAAATATTGATGCCCAATCATATATTCAAACTTGGTAGCCATGCCCAAATATGAAATGATGTCAAAATATTAATGCCCAATCATATATTCAAACTAATGGTCGCCATGTCCAAATATGGAATGATAAAATAAAGTCATATTCTCATACTTCGTCCCAATACACCAATATAGAATATTGTCAAAATATTAATGCCCAATTATTGCAATAGATAGTGACTGAATATTATAGAAAATCTCATCTTGCCGCTGCAAATAAACCCCTGCCTATATTATTCCCATATAGAGGTTACGCTGATATTTTGCAACATCCCAAAAGTTCAATAAAACCTGCGTTGATAGCGATGGCGATGGAATAGTTAACTAAATCTTACATTGTTCCGAACGGATTCTTGATATCATTTATTTGAATTATTGTCACTTTGAATTTCCTAAATCAAGTCATTGTGAACCTGAAATGGCATTATCAAAGGCATCTTGAAAGGTACTTATTCAAAATACCGTATTCTCTGTAAATAGCATCCAGGGCTCTTAGAAAATTCAATTCATTCCTCATTATTCCTTGAGCTTTGGAAAGAGGGGTGGGTGCTTACTAGAGGGAAGGACTTTATTTTTTTAAATATGCTCCTTGCATCAATACACCTTTTCTTAAACCTTAAATAACTGTGATATTTGATTAGATTTCTCAATTCTTTATTAAGAAAAATAAAACTAGGATTATAAGGGCATCACTGTAGAGACTGCTTCCAACAAAGAGTTCTCACAAGGATTTTTTCTCAAGTGGGTGCAAAATTTTTAATTCACAATTTAGACCAAATTTGATCAAAATATGTCTATTTTATGTTTTTCTCATTTTTCAAGTGGGTGCATATTGATTTTCAGGTGGGTGCAAGCCTTTTATTAAAATCTCAAGTGGGTGCAGCACCCACTTTAATACTTGGGAGATCACTGCACCATTTTTAACACTCTGTTTTTTTGCTGCCACTTTAATTAAAGCAAATTGTCAAGAGAAATTGTATAAAAAAGCATGAATGATGCACTTAAAAATATGAAATGACATAGATGCTCTTAAATATGACATGACATATGCAACACTATATTTTAATAAACTTATTATGTTTTTCCCCACTTAAATGCCTCGGGAGGGACTACTATTATAGGATTAACCACCAAAATTTGTTCTCTGTGAATAAGAACTATACATTTGATTGAGCTCAGGTTAGATTGACCAAAATGCAAATATGAATTTGCAATCGCAGTAACCACATTTTTGACTTTTTTAAGAATTGAATTTATGTCATAAGTATTTAATTTATCACATAGTATTGAATTTATGTCATAAGTATTTAATTTATCACATAAGTATTGATTCATCTCTTAAGTATTGAATTTACCTCATTACATTGAATTTATCTCATATTCAAACTAAAAAAAACATGAATGACCATGACCATCACATCTAATTTCAGTTTCATGAAAATTATGAGCTCAAGTTAACAAGACATTAACATGCAAAATATCACCACCTACCATTTGTTATGGACACCGACCGCCAAACACCTATCATCAAACACTGTCTAAAAAAGGTTGGAGACAATATGTCAATTACGGTAGTGACATGAAAATCATAATTACCACAATTGTCAAGAAATAGCTATCAGTACCAGGCCTGTAGCCAGCTGGGTTCAAGCGAACCCCCCCACCCCCGGCCAATAAATCTTTCAAAATCATGCAGTTTTTCACCCATGTGAAAATTGTCACAAGTGAACTCCCTTCTCCTGGAATTTTTCAAAAAGTGAACCCACCTTGGTAAATCCTGGCTACAGGCCTGAGTACTGTACATTGCAAATGCAACCAGTTTTCAAGTCCATTGGCAAGAAAGAAGCATTTGCAGTACTGGCAGCCACGCTGCCGTTAATTAGAACCTCGATCTCAACTTAAATGTCCTATCCTAAGTCAAAGGACAATTATCACTTCTAGTACCTAAATTACAGGGGGGACCTGCTATTACGTCTAAGTTCCAGCTGAATCAAAGATTTGAACACAGAAGAAATATTTTTCTTAACTGCAATATCAGTCTAATTTCTATTATAATTTGTTATGATATGTGAGAAGATAAATTTACCCTTGGTTAAAAAAACATACAGACAGGAAAGTGCAAGGCATTTACATGCAAAATGTCACAACTGGCCATTTGTTACAGGCCTCAACCGCCAAACTTCAACCGCCGAACACAACCCAGTTAGAGCAATATGTCACCACTAGTGGTGGTGACATAAAAATGATGGAGAAGTAAAGACAAGGTAACGACAAAATGTAACAAGTTAGTCACAAAAATGTTAATTTGTGACACTTTGTTACACAATTGCAGATGAAGAATGCTGACAATAAATCATATATTTCAGAGAGATCTTAACGAATAATTCTTTAATGTACAAGACCTTTTGGTTTATTCTAGGGTCTAGATTCTAACAACGTTCTATTTTTAAGACCGCAATATATTATTTTCCGTATGCATTATGAGCCGCAATGATCATTTATAACATAAAGTCCCCGAGGACTAAATCCAGAAAACAAACAGCAAATGAAATTTGTGAGACACGCAGTTAATTCTCGAGAAACAAAGCAAAAACAAAAAATGAAAATATCAGAATCGCATTTTTTCAAGAATTAGTCTTTTCCTTCTATGAAGTTTCAACACTGCTTTTCATTTACTGTGCTGTGCATACAAGCATAGAATGAATGATTAAAATAGTGCGGATTTAAGTCATATTATTAGATTGAATTTAGATGACCAAAAAGTGTGGCCAAAAAGTGTTCACCATTAATGAACATTTTGAGTGATGAAGCCTTCAAAAAGGTGTTCAAATGTACAAGTTTTACCAAACTGATACCTATAAATTCAACGTGACATTTATTTTTATGAGCCTTTTTGGAATCTTAAATCTACACGCTTGAGCGGCTAATGGTCTTTGGCACAAACATAATTGATCTGTAAGAACGTTACCCTCGACTAAATGTCGTGCTCAGCATATTACTCAAATGGAAAAATAGAAGGCAGAGAAGAATGACTTGCCATTTCAAAATGAGAATTTCCATATATGTTGTATATGTAATTACACCCAAAAATTTGACATTCAAGTTATGTGTTTTATATTTTTAGGTAAATATTTATTAAATATTATGGTAGAATAAATACATTTAGTTCAAAACCCAGATATTTTGATTTTGAAACAACATTTTTGCAGTTATTGGAGGTTAATTATCAACTTTTATCTTGACAGTGTTATTTTAAAGCCAATGGTAATATGCACTTATTGGGATAAGGGAAAAATCCTTTATTCGATGCACATTTTGATCCTGGGAATGCAATTATAGTACAATATTTGTGTTCGTTTGATTTATTGGGAGTCTTTTAATTCTTTCCACGATCCAACATCAAACAACAATTATCTATTATTTACGATGAATTCAGGATTTCATGCCCCAACAAATAATGCCAATATCATCATGCTTTTTCATACATTTTCTCTCTAAAATTTGAGCAAAAAATAGGACTACTCCGACTTCCTTACAATTTAGACCATAGACTTCATGAATATCAAAGTTATTTTTTCTAAAATCCTTTCTGAATAATAATTCTTCAACTTTGAAATGTTGACGTCATGGACATTTTCAACGTAAGGAATGATGTTTTTGCTGTATTAATTTGTGAATAGACAGATATTATTGACTAAATCATACGGAATAATGTTCCCTATCAATTAGGAAGTATCAAAACAATGCAAATGCCACAATAATTTAGGGTAAAATACAGAAAACACTGTGATCAGACCCGTAGCCAGGGGGGGGGGGGGATTTTGCAG